CCGTCCCTCCCATTCATCCTATTTTCTCCCTTCCTTCCTCCCTCCTTCCCTCCCTCCCATTCATCCTATTTTCTCCTTCCTTCCTTTTTCATTTTGTTTCATTTCTTTTTTTTTGCATTTTACGCACGGTTATCCTTTAGATTCCCAGAAGTATCTTGTTTACGCTCTGTGCTTCTTCAGAGGTAACTTTTTGATCTCGCCGGTGCAGAAAACGTCATTTTGAGAGGCATCCCGCTAAAATTAGGTGGTGGTTTTTTGTTTCTTGTTTTCATTTTTTTTGTTTTTTGTTTTTTCGTTTCTATCCCCAATACGTGTAGAAGTTTTTGTTTTTCTTTTTTTAAAAAAAAAACCAAACAAACAAAAACAAAAAGCAGAAGCAAAACTATTTATTTAAAAATATCGTCTGTATTTTTACTGTAACAAAGTTGTTTCACCAGCATTGCCCTCTTTGGGAAGGGATGGGAGAGGAACAGAAGAAGGAAGGAAGGAAGGGGAGAAGGCAATCTGGATGGACTTTAAGCAAACAGCAAAAAAAAAAAAAGAGAGAGAGAGAGGCAGAGAGAGAGAAAGAGAGAATAAATTCTTTTCTAAAATTGAGATTGTTTTGTTTGGCATTTTCATTTCTAACCTAAATTCCATTTTAATTCTTGCGTCAGGTCTTGGGTTTTTTTCCTCCCTCCCTGTTCCATTACCGTTATTAATCGGGGCATTTACAACCAAATCTGATCGTTGGCTCAGATTTGTGTGTGTGTGTGTGTTTTTTAAGAGCTGGGATTTCTCTCCGGGTTTTCCCCCCTTTTTGGTTAGGCCTATTCATTCTCCATGCCACCTTGTCGAGGAACCATCTGCTCGATAGCCACATCTCGGGCTGCAGCAAATAAGTTGACAACTTTTGTGTCTGTGTGTCTGTGTGTGTTGCAAAAAAACTGTAAATACCACATAACACAATGAACATACTGTAGAGAACTCTTTTTATCCCCGCCCCCTCCCCGGCGTGGCACTAACCACCATTGTTCTCTTGTGATCAATGTCTGTGCATGATGTTTGTTTATTGCCTCTCCAAACCTGAGTCCTGTATTGATATGTAAGTTCATTAACAGTCTAACTGTGTGGTGTTTCTCTCCAATGCCTTCCAACATTTCACCGACTGAAGTGAGTATCTCTCTCCCATTTCGATGGCGGTGCGTGTAGCTATGTATGTAACGGGAAACATGAGAGCCCTGTGCTGTGTGCCCTTCCAGAGACCTCAATAAACAAAGGCTCGTGTTCTTTCCCCCCATTGCAATTTCTCTAGCCTACAATTTCTGCCTTAGCGTAGTGCAAAAGCCTTTCCCGTGTTCCCTCGCCTTTCCTCTGATTTAAATCCCGAGAGACTCAACCGCTTGCCTTTCTTCTTAAAATCCCCGGGGCCCTTTCAGAGCCAGCAGGTCCACCGCGTTCCCTTCTCAAAATATTTAGCAGTCCCAAACGCAGGATCTCTCTGGGGTCCTTGGTGCTCTCTGAGCTGGGTGGTTTTCTTGCAGACGTTTCACGACCCAACTAGGTTACCTCATCAGTGCCGGAAAGGAGTGGGGTTTGCAGAGTGGGGGGAGGAGGAAGAGGAGGGGAGAAAGACGAGGAGAAAGGCTGTATGGTCCTTGGTGCTGTCTGAGCTGGGTGGTTTTCTTGCAGACGTTTCACGACCCAACTAGGGAACATCATCAGTGCTAGAAGGGAAAGAGGTTTGCAGAGTGGAGGAGGACTGTAGGGTCCTGGATGCTGTCTTAAGTTTGGTTATTTTCCTGCAGACCTTTCATTACCTGACTAGGTAACATCATCAGTACTGGAAAGGAATGGGATTGGTAGAGAGGAGGAGAAGTGGAGGAAGAGGAAGAGGAGGCCTCAGAGGCTGAGCTCGCTACTCTCAAGTTTGGTGCTCTCTGAGCTTGGCTGCTTTCATGTGGGCATTTCATGACCCAACTAGGGAACATCAGTGCTATCTATTTTCTATTTTTTATTTATTTATTTGTCAAGCAAGTATTAGATAACAGGTATAAGAATAAGCATGGTTATGAATACATGAAATGGATATGATTAAAAAAAGAAACAATAGGACAGGGACGGTAGGCACGTTGGTGCGCTTATGCACACCCCCTACAGACCTCTGTCTTCAACGATTGGTCTAGCAAATGTTTTATATGTTCTAATTAGTAGTGTGATATTACCGGAGAAAAAGCTACGTAAGATTAAGTTAACAACTCTTAATGCCTTTTGGCTCTGTAGTTACAGTGGGTTTTAGCACTTAGATCATTAGAGATGAGTACTCCAAGGTCCTTGACATAGTTGGAGTCATCAACAAGATCTTGACTATTCAGCTTGTATTTTATTTTCTGATTTTTTTCTTGCCAATATGTAAGACAGAGCATTTGTTTGTTGAGATTTGAAGTTGCCCTTTGTTTGACCATTCTGATACACAGTCGAGGTCATTTTGAAGGGTAGCAATATTGTCGGTGGTGTTGAATAGCTTGACATCACCTAGCAGGGTCTCTTTGTCAGCCCTTGGCTGTTCCTGGGGTTTGCTTGAAAGATGCCCCCATATGTAGGAAAAGCTTTGCTAGGAAGAGAATGCCTGGCTTTCTACGGAGAGACGGGACTTCTTAGGTGGTCCATACCAAAGTTTGGCCTACATTCTCAAGACAGGCTTGATTTAGAAGGCGGTTAGACAGTCTGGACTTGCAGCAGCTGAGCCTGGAAGGTCAACTGGGCTGCAAGGTCGAGGGGCCAGTTCCTCCCTCTGTAGTTCTTCCTATGGCACCCGGGAGAGCATTGCTCGGGGTCTCCACGGCAGGGGACCCTGCTGGAGGAATCCCAGGGGGAGGATGGGGTCTCTGAACTCTCCCCTAGGAGAGGGGGCTTCCATGGGGCCTTTCTTTGCACAAACAAGAATGTGAGTTACACTAGCAGTCATTTGTCATGCCCAAGTTGAGGCTCCATTTTGCAAATACCACCCAACCCAGCATCCTTATTCCCTCTTCCACCTGCCTTGGGCCACAACCGACTCTTAAGACAGCAGGATGATCTATTTTTAAAAGCAGAGCTGAGCTGCCCCGGTATTCGTTTCTCTCCCTCTTTCTTTTATTTACACAATACAGCTGTCCTCTTCAATCAGCAGAACGGGGCTTGTTGCCGTTTCTAAATGGCTTCTGTGTACAGATTTTACAGCTGCTCGGTTTTGAACTTCCCCCCTTTTTTTCTTTCCTCCCGGGAGCATCTCAAAGAGAGAGGTTGGGGATCTTCGCTCTGTGGTGATCCTAAAATGACACAGGGCAGCCCAATAAGAGACTTAGCTGCATGCAAGGAGAAAGCAGGGAGAGACAAAGCATGCAACAATAATGCAGACTGTCTTGTGTCCTCACACTTGTCTTGTTGTACATCTTGCACTGCTTAACCATCTCTGCTCATAGCTTAGAAGCCCATTTTTACCCATTAGCAGATAAAAAAAAACCCCCCCCCCCCCCCAAAAAAAAAAGCTGGGTACTTTCTGGCACACCCCTTAGCCTACGACAAAAGGCAGAGTGGAAATGTTTTATTTAGAGGGAATGGATCAAACAGGCACTGTAGAATAAATCTGGTCAAAAGATTCCAAAGAGGGAAAAAAACAATAGAGCTAATGGGGAGATAGTTGGTGGACAGGTTGATCTGCAGTTCTGAGTATTTGCTAAGAAATTTTGTTCCGTTCAAGAAATGAAGAGTGAGGCCAAGCAAAACCAGGCAGATTCCTAACCTGCCGTGACAAGTTGCTTTTGGTTTGAACAAATGCCCTCTGAAATTAATATATATTTTTTAAAATCCGGAGAAAGCTCAAGAGAGCCAGTCATTCTGCAAAGCACAATGGATGGGAAAGTCTTGACGTGAAAAACCCAAACGGTTTAAAACAAGGTTGCATTGAGTCCTTAATCTGACTCACTCTTAAATAGTGATGGATTAGATTAGATGGATTAGTTGGGCTCCAGATCTTTGGGGTTCAACCCCTCCCCAAAGAGAGGGGTTACAAGCCCCCTGTTTGTACTGCTGGGGTCTTAAAGGGAAGGTACAATTCTGAAGAGTCGTCTCAACTCCACAATTGGCTGTATTTGTGTCTTGATCCACTAACCAGCTTGCAGCTTTCGGGTGGATGGAAACTTGCTAATTCTAAACCTCCTCTTAGTTTTTTAATTCTTAGTTCTTTTTCCACTAACCTGTATTCTCCTGTTGAATTGTGGGAAGTTATGATCAATTGCCTATCGCTACTAAGTCTTAAAGAAAAAGCAATCTTTTGCTTTTATTATGCTTTCTTTATCTGT